ACGCAGCATGTACAAAAGGCATTAGAGAAATGAAGTCTGATACCGCATTATATTTTGATGTCCACCTAGTAACGCTTAATATCTTAAGACTTTTAACGCTTGGTGCTATATCTGCTGCTTCCAAGCAGCTTAAAATAACTGATTTCCTCTTCGGTGTATTAAAAAATGTGTACAACTTTTCCACGATGGCTAAAGTATGTCTTATTGGCGGTATTACACTAGATTTGGATATGGCCAAATTAAGTACGTGTGCTGAGCAATGCACATAGCAAGCAAAAGGATACTCCTCTTGAACGTATTTTTGGACGCCGTTAAACTGGCCTGACATATTCTTTGCCCCATCATAATCTTGACCAAAAAGATATTGACAATCGATATTACATTCTTTTAGTGTATTTAGAATTATCAAAGATACATCTTTTCCACGAAGCGATTTCGCCACAACAAAACGAAGGAAGTCTTCTCTCAAACTTATTTCCCCTCCATGAGTCTCATCAACATACCGGAGACAGATCGAGACCTAAAGTATTCAAATAACATTATTTATATTAAACACATTCCTAGTTGTCTACACTATCCTTTTAACCGTCTCATGATCATGATATAATAGTCAAAAAGGACATTATCAGAGTTATCTAATTCAGCTTTAATATACACTCACTCATTTATATCTGCGTACACCTTTGCGCAGATATAAGTGAGTGAGCTTATGTAAAAACATATAATATGAATTACCTGCTCAACTGTTGATATATCTGTAGTTTCATCTGCTAAAATTGAGAAGCACTGAGCTTTGTTGACTCGACTAACAACCTTTTTTAAAATAATTTCATCGCAACATAGAATAATTTCATTTTGGATGCTGCTAGAAATATATTTATCATTTCCTGTGGGATTATCTAAAACTTTCCTCGGCGCTTCATCGCCTAAGGCTCTGAAAGCTAAAATTGCTACTACCCTACTTTTAAGGTTATTTTATTATTATTTTTGAGCAAGAAATTATAATTCAACACCAAAGTCACCTTTATTGCATGAAACGAAATCGGAGGCCACGTTAATGTCGCCAATGTCACGGTGACCTCTTAAAGACACCTCTGCCCGCCCTAAGTAAATTATAGCCTCAATCATAGGAGTTATTCTGCGTCGATTCTCTAAGATCTGCTCTCTTCTCTTAACATCTATTTTATTAACAAGAGAATTCACTGTATTTCTCATTTGCATTTTGAACGAATTGGCATCGACTACAGCATTTACGTGATATATCTTTTTCTCGTGTTCTCTTAACGACTAATAGTACCAGAAATTTAGTGCTTTTCATTTATGGTAAACAAGTTACTTACCTCATGCGCTTTTTTCCAATTATCAAACTTTGATACAACGAAATTTCCGAAATTGATGCCAAGATCTCCTTCAGACCTTGCAAATGCCACACAGAATTTGCAATAAGCACCTTTATCCACTCCTGAATAAGCAAGCCAATTATATTGAAACTTTAATCCACGTTTGACATGTTTTTCCAAAACGGGAAACACGATGCGCAGGTCGGGCGACCACAATTTGTCTAAAATATCTATTTTATCTTGAGTCGACAGATGAGGCCGTTTTACCACAAACACACTGATATTATTGCCGCTTTCTTTCCTGCTTGTCGATGCTTCACAACTCCCACAAACTGTACGCTCCACTTCATTACAAATCTCCGATATTTCACTTTCCATTATTAAACTTTTTTTCGTATTCACGTTTAAAATAACTTCTAATATCCATTTTAACAATTATTTTAAACTTCTTACGCACTTAACTTTTTTCGAGAGCAACAATGCTCATACGCACTTACCGAAACTTTGCAATTAAAATTTGACAAGTTTTAACAGCTGATACAGACATAGACTACATCAGGGATGGAATTCCAAAATTTCAAAATGTGCGTAATGGACTGCAAAAATAGGCATTTTAAGAACCACATATGTATTTTTATAAATATTATTTTTAATGTACTTCATTGAATTATTAGAGTAAAATCATAGTAAAATAACACAATATACAAGCTGTACTTGTCTTTAAAAAAAGGACATAAAATAACTTAAAAAAAAAAACACAATATTCCAATTACGAAGGGAAAAAACACTGAAATATAGCTATTCGGACCTACATACATACTTATGTACGAAATAATAGTGCGATTCATAAAACGGCAAAGTGGCGTTAGAGATAAAGAAAATTTTTTACAATTATATTTCGATGCAGGCTTAACTGATATACTTTTTTTTTGAAGCATTCGAAGGCAATAAAAAACATGTGTCTCGCGACTTTGACTTTGCAATGATTGTCAGCTCAAATAATATGGCAATGTAGCAATTTTGTCGCAAGAAAGTTTCCATACAAAAATAATCAGCTGTGTCGCAAGGTGGCAAATTTTGCAACAAATGCGACATTTGCAACAACTTTGCGACGTTTCATGAATCCCACTAATAGTAGTGTGACATTTTGACTTATTCTTCTTTACATCGAATAATTTTTATTAATTTTATATAATGGGCCTTATTTTAATTTATAAGTGAATTTAATTTTAACTTTTCGAATCTATGAGTAATATATGATTGTTTGTTATATACTGGCTAAATTTCTATAATTTATGATTGTGCCAAAACTGAATGAATTGTGCCAAAAAGGCCCTTGTGAATGAAAATGCCAAAAATGGCACTATTGTGACTACTTTTCCAGCACTGGATTATATGATACGAGACTCAGCATCCAGCCAATCAGAGCATCCCGTGATTTTGTGCTCTAATTTGGCAGCACTAACACACCATGGGGAGCTAAGCAAAATGGTGAGATTCCAGTCGCTACGCGAAAAAAGGCACCGTTTTCGATCAAGGGATTTTTAGTTTTGTGTTTACAAAAAATGCTACAAGACTGCGTTTATTATGTAAAAAAAAANAAAGGCACCGTTTTCGATCAAGGGATTTTTAGTTTTGTGTTTACAAAAAATGCTACAAGACCGCGTTTATTATGTAAAAAAAAAAGTTTTTAATCGTGACCTAAGAATTTTATAACGCTAAAACATAGAGAAAATATATATCCAATTTTATAAATTTTGCGCCTTTTGCGTAACCAAAACTGACACCATAAATTCATCAATAAATGCCGTACTTGGCACTATTTTTTGCCAAATTCACACTGGCAGTTTATTATACTCAAAATTTGTACAAAGTTTGAAATTTGAACATGCTTGTTTTTATTAGGTAATCGGCATACTTTTATAAAAAAACGTGTTAAAATGTCTCGTAGCTATCTATTTTTTCACCTCTGTGTGCTCTGATTAAATTAATGAGCTTGCTCCTAGTATTTTCAGACCGTGTGAATTCGGATTTTTATGGACGGGAGAGAGAAGGGAGTAGAGTTTTAGCGCATCAATCTCAAACCGGGAAAATTACGGTATTATTTCGGTCTGATATTATATTGCTACCAGAACCAATGTGTACACATACCTCGAAACCAGTTTTATCACCTGGAAAGCCTAGTGTGTTTCGCAAAAGGTCTGAAAAGACTAATATAGGCTCAATATTCAAATTCATAATCCATCAACCGATAATTTTATATGTGCATTAAAAGATAATTTGTGATCCGCCTGAAATAAAAAAAAATTAAATCAGGATACAATAGTATCGTGTTATTAATTCAAAAGTAAAAAATGTTAGTTCAATGGCGAAGGGGGNCCCCCCCCCCCCCCCCCCCCCCTGGCTACGCCACTGATTACGGTTATCCTTCTTGAAATTTTCAGGCGATGTTATTTATATGGTATATTTTTCGTTATTTTGTCCCATTTATAAGTCTAAATAATTTGTTAGCTGGGAAACCGAATAATGATATCACAAAAATGGATTATGTGTTGGTCAATTGTTCAACTTGATTAAAATTTTGTCAATTCAAATCTGAATATTTTTATTCTCACGCCAATAACTTTTATATTTATATATGGTTTTTTTCATTTATGTCTTATAGTTTTTGTAAATATGTTGGTTTAAGGAAACCCACCATACATTGAGGTAGGTTGTCGATTAGAGAATGATTGGAAAACTAGCAACATTCTTCAATCTCACACGTTAGAGAACGACTCGAAAATCTATCGATAATCATTGCGATCTCAACAAAAATGGGGCACAGTTCTCGACTCGAGAAAATATTAAGCCTCTAATCGAATTCTAATGTTGAGCTCTAATGGGATTCGAATGTGAATTTCAAACTGCTGTTTTGGCTTTATCAAATAAAACGCTTTGTTTGTAAAATTTGTATTAAATGTATTAGCAATAAAATAATAATTCAAAATAGTTATGAATCGTTCATTTGGAATATTGCTTATTTACATGTATTTGAATTTGCGTTGTTTCGAGAACGATTAGAGAATTACCCTAGTTATCTAATGTAGAAATCCAAATTTCTCTAACGTTAGAGACTGTGTTTGCTGTAAAATAAGTAAACCAATTCCTAGCAGTTTTCCTATATAATTTTTAAAATCTAAATCGAAAATCTTTCCATTTTTCGAAACGTGTAATGTATGTAAATGCAGAATTAAATACACAAGGGAACAAAAATGGAAAAAAAACTTTGTTTTGGAAAATGTGAAAGCTGATTTTGATTAACTTTTCTGTGCTGATTACGAATCCGTGAGTATAAAGTTTCCATCAGCTCAAGATTATGAGAAAAACGAGGTCAAAATTCTAAAATATTGCAAAAACCGCGATTTTTTGACACTTTGACCTCGTTTTTCTCAAAACCGGATTCGTAATCAGCACAAAAATTCTATCAAAAACAGCTTTAACATTTGCCGAAACAAAATCACTGTTTTCCATAAGTTATGAATCAAAGAAAATATAATACCTTTCATTTGATGTATCAATTGTTTATTATAATTATGACTGCTGTTACCCACACCAGTTATAACCGTTCGCAGCTATGATATACATGAATGCATTATCTTTAAATTTTCTCCCACACAGAGACCTTTCGAGCACATCATTGGAAAGATTACCTCCGGTGGGATTGCAGGACATTGAGGAATTGCGTATTGAGAGCGTACACACACTTAAAACAATTCCATCCATTTACAATTTTAAGGTGAATAAGTGGCTTTGCTACTATTTTTCGAGATAACTTTAATTGACTTCCATTCACATGTCTACATATAGAATTTACAGAGAGCTTTCCTGACACACTCCTTTCACTGTTGCGCTTTCGAATTTCCATCGCGCCACGATCCACTTCGTCATGCCGAGCGATTGAAAGAAATCGAAAAGTGGCAGCAGCGTTGTTCAAAGAATGTAAATGAAAATGGCAGTTCTAATTGGTTGGGAATGAACACTGAAAGCGGAATCAATGATAGTTTACACAAGATACTTAGAGCAAAAGAGACTGAAAATAACGATGATGGTCAAACTTGGAGTGCTAATGGAGGCGGGATGCGTCCAACACAAGGCAGTGGAGTTTTTTACAGGTAAATTAATCGATGAATAAATCATATCAGTCATTTAATTTTCTCCCGCCCCGTTAAGGCCAGTGTTTCTAGAAAAGTTTTTGATAATCTATAAGTTAACCTGTTTTCTCTCGAAACTCTGGATTCTTTGCTTAGCATTTTTCATAAGTGGTTTCCTTTCTTAAGATGTTACCCTCCAGTTTCTAATATCTAAGCTATAGGCGATATGGAGAATGCATTATTTTGATGAAAACAATAAGCTTATCGTATTCTATAGATCTTGTCCATGAATAATGACTTGACAAAACATATTTAAAATTTTACCTAGAACATATTCTTTTGTTGATAACTTTTCTGTAACAACGGAACTCTCTTTAGAGAATTTAATTCCCTACAAGAAAATTCCCAGAAAAAAGTATTATCTCAAAAGGTTCAATAGTTATACAAGTTTTGATGATAGCACATTTTTTTACATGTAAAAATTTTTCCAAATGGAAGAATTTTCTTCTCAGTTAATAGGTCTTTTTAAGGCCATAACTTTAGGTTAGATATTTTGAATCACACATATACCCAATGGGAAAATGTAATGTATAGTAATTGAAAAAATTATCAGTAAAACAACCCTTTTCACATTCGAAAATGCATTTTTTCCCCAGGGCGATGTCCTAAGAACAGTGGGGCATTCAATTTTGCATTACCTAGTATACAGAAATGAATGTGATTTAATATGCACTTTTGGGACTTTTTGATTACATATTAAACAGCAATTGGATGTACATAAGACTCATAAGAAATACATTCGATTATTTATCACGCATGGAATTCATTACTACTTTTGCCACTGGGTACTTACATATCGTCGTTTAAATTATAAAACCGCGTATCGTCATTCTGCAAAACCGTGTAACTGACATTGGCTGCCAAAAATTGGATTTTCTCACACAAGCCCTTGGCTCAATCCTTATCCATTCGTCCTGAAATATACTGGCCAGAAATGGGATTGCTTTATAAAAAAGAGAACCATTTTGAAATATCAGTGTTTTTACGCTCTAGAAAATAATTTCTACAATTCACATACGTGGTTTTGCATTTTGCTGATACGCGGTTTTGCACTTTAAACGACGATATGTACATGCTTGGCGCGCAATATCTCGTATCTGCCAAATGCAATGCCATGAACGAGGTGGCTGAGAACAAAAAAACAAAAATATTTTCGGAAATTTAATGGTCAATAATTTTAGTAGAGCTTATATTTATTAAGTTCAGTTAGAAAACCATTCAAAAGTTTAGAAGAAAATAAGTTTATTTGCACTTGTTTGAAATTTTCGGACTATCGTATACGTGGTATTGCATTTGGCGACGATTTGTATGCCTTTTTCAGTACCCCTTATGAAAATTCCATAAATTCCGTATACAGTGAATAGGGATGCCAATCCCAGGATCCAGGTGTTTTTGAGGCCCATAAAAGCCCGGGATTTGCTTGCATTAAATAAAACGAGTTTCTAAAGATCTTCTTGGTTTGCCCAATAACATCGCAGTCAAGTCAACAAAGAAAATTTCTGATAAAAATTGTAAAATGGTCGTCTTAGCTGAATTCGATTCAGTCGTCACAATCGAAGCGGTTTTCAAAAATATTAAAAAACTGGCTGGTTTAGCCATTTATATAGAAGACAGACAAAAAGCAATTAGTAGCCGACATAAAGTAAACAATTGTTTTAAGTCATTTGCAATAGATATATCCCCCTTATGGATTTTCAATTATATAGTCTTAAGTTACTAAAAATTGATAATTGGCTCTGTCTATGTTACACCGACCTATGACATTGAGACAGCGCTGGACCTTTTAGAATTGTTTTAGATGAAATTTCCCATAGTTACGGTAATGTCCTCATCATAATTGGTGGTGATTTTAACGCTCGAGTTGGTAGCGAAAGTAGCTGCGATCTCCTTCTAGGGCCAAACTCAATTTTAGAGACCATACGAATATCTTCTGACAAAATAATTAATATTCGGGGCAAAAATGTATATAAATTTATGTCAAGAAATGGGCTTGTTCTATTAAATGGGCGCATACCGGGCGACATACCAGGAAACTTTACCTTTTCCAACAGCAATGGAGAAAGTGCTATAGATTTGATATGGGCAAAAGTAGAGGCTATTCCTCACATCAAAAGGGTCGAAGTGTTATTTGACGTAGTAACCTCAGACGATTTCCCTAGTGATGCAAAAAATAAATCTGGAGGAATTAGGACTATGTTCAAACAGGCCAATTTGCTGAAGAAATTAAGCTTTAAATTGCGCAATTAGCGATACGAAATCAGCTGCTGGATTACCTACAGTGATGGAAAACTTGGTACAATCGTACCTTTATTTAGTTTGAAAGTGCATTCGGTACAAAAACACAATTTTAGGTACATTTGGAACGTAGCCAAATAACTTCTCAGGAAATCAGTTCTTATTTTTATTGACATTTCAGTGCATTTTCTGTTGCGGGCAACTGGTCCAATACCTTCCCTCCTTTGTGAAGGGGCATACAAAGGATACAAAAACGTGGTCAAAGTAACGCAACTGTAGTTGATTTCGCCAGATAGATGGAAAATATTTATTTTTAAACGACAGAACTGGGAGAAAAGTGATTCACCTTTCCTACAACTTAGTTTTGTCTCGCGCTGCACGAAGAGATTCTTTTCATAGCCAAAATTTGTTTAATGTGAGTTCAGAAGTTGATGTGGTATCGACGGGAATTGTTATCCTCCTATTTTCTTTATATAGAAATACATATTTACTTTTTAGGTACATCTATCTACTTTTATATAAATCTTTCCGTACATTAGGTACAATTTTATAATTAAACTAGCAACCCGCCCCGGCTTCGCACGGAAATAAAATATAAGGCCTATGTCACTCACTGAAAAAATGATTAAAATCGATCCCGTAGTTTTGATTTATTCATTACTGCCCGTGGCCCGCACGCGTTACATTTGGAGTAAAACAATTCCCCTTTCTTTATACCATGAAGATTTCCTGCTATCTTTGAATATCTAAATTCATACCCTACATTTTAACATATTTACTTTTTGCATTTTTACATATTTATTTTATTTTTACAACAACAATTAATATATTACAGAATGTCTTTATATACAACGTTCACAGCTTTCTTGTCATTAGACAATACAAACATGTTTTCTCTTGAGGTTACTCTTGAAAGAGCGACATACAGTTGGCCATGTGAAAAACAGTCAACGCTCAAATCTAAGCCTGCAACGTTGAAGGTTTGACCCTGCGATTTATTAATGGTCATTGCAAAAGATGTCTTTACCGAAAATTGTAAACGTTTAAATTGGAATGGTAAATCCGATGGTATCATAGGGATTCGGGGAATCAATACATCTTCTCCGGTACCACATCCTGTGAGTATTGTGCACTCTATTATGAAAGTTTTCAGTGATTTTACCAGCAAACGCGTGCCNCATGTAGTGATTTTCCATCCTTGATGGAATATCAGCTGTAAAATAAGGACAGAAACAAACAGCTGATTCCTCTTTGTTCAATAAACATACCTCCAATTAAAAATTAAACATACCTAGCAGGGTTGCATAGAGAATCTGACACAAATTAATTGCCAATTAATTATTAATTAATAATTTTAATAATTTCAATTTTTGTATGATAAATTGGGTAATTAAAGCTTAAATTGGTGAAACGGTTGTTAATTGCCAATTAGGTGCCTGTTTGAACATAGTCTAAGAGAAAATACAAATAACTAATATTGAAATGGGACGCTACATAGCACCACAATTTATTACATTTCAGAGTGGGGAGGATTGTCTTTCTCAATGCGACATTATTAATGCTTCAGTTTAAACCCAATATTCAAACCTGACAGAATCAATAAAAAGGTCAGCTCAAAAAATAAATATGTTAAAAAACACATCAGGGAAATCATCAAGCCACTTCAAAAATGTCTGGCTTGATCAAGAGTTGCTTAGCAATAAACGTGAGCTGAGAAAGGCACTCAGGCTGTGCAAAAATTCATCGTTTAGTAATGAGCATAAATCGAATTACATATATAAACTTAAAAATAGAGTATAAAAAGTTGCTAAGTAGCTAAAAAAAAACTCATACGATATAACTGTCAAAAACAATGTAAAAAATACAAAAGAGTTTTAGAGTGTCATCTGAGAATGCAACAAAAAGCATCCAATTACAAACCCTATTCCGCTAGTTGAATGGGAACAATTTTATTGCGAAATTTACCCACGGCGTATACTACGAGATCTATCTTTTTTGGAACGTTTGATGAAACACTAGACGTCGAGATGTCGCTCTCAGAAATCAAATTTGCAATCAAAGCCTGCAAAATAACAAAGCTCCAGTTCGGGACATGGTTGGGGGAGAATTTTATAAATGTCTCCCTGATGAAGGCATATACTATTTGCACTCATTATTTAATATTATCCTATCGTATGGAGTCTTGATCACAATCGCTCTTAGTACTGTCTTATAAGAGCGGAGATCCAAATCCGTTGAACCACAGAGTTATCGCACTGAGTACTACAATTTCAAAAATTTTTACACAGATTCTTGCGCAGCAATTAACTAATTGGGCTGACGAAAACTATGTAATCCCAGAATCTCAAAACAAATGAAGCTGCATTGACAATACTTTCGTTCTGCAGTCAGCCTTACAGATTCATATGAGGCAAAATAAATCTTCTTTTTTCGCCTTATTTATCGATTTTCGCCGAGCGTTCGACGCAATTAATTATGATCTACTGTGGCAGAAACTATATGCAAAAGGCGTGAGTGTCAGCTTTACACACTTGGTAAAATCTCTTAACGAGCGTGCATCGTTTGTGATAAGACAAGAAGATATTACTTCACAAAGCATTGCTGTAATGGAGGGAGTTTTACAAGGGGAAATCTTTAGCCCTCTTTTGTTTTTGCTGTTTATCTCAGATTTTGAAGATGAGCTGCAAAATGAAAGTATAGAGGGAATAAATATCGACGGAAAAACT